ATGACACTGACGATCTTTTTTCTTTAAATGGGAGGGGAGGGGTCGTTTCACTTCGACATCAGCTTGTCACTGCGCACTGCGACTTTTTCTCTGAGTATCGAGCTGGAACCCAGCCATGTCCTGGTGGTTTCACCGCTGCCTGTTTGCGACTGCTTATTTGTCGCAGCTATTCTCAATATCTGGAGGTCGTTCAGCTATTCCCAGCTCGGTGATGCGCCAAATAACCAGCAGCTGGACCCACTATTATACTGATGCAGCAAGTGCGCAGTCACTGAGAAGTCGTGGCCTGCTTGAATACCACTCCTAGGAAACTAGGACCAAGGCAGCGGTAAAATACGCTGTGAAATCTAGTCTCTGTTTGTTTAGCTCCTTCGCGCGTAATCCAATTGTGTTAGGTCACTTGAAATATACCGTGCTACACGGTATTTTACTGCTAATGTTTGAACGGCTGTATGCGTTTTTCTATCAAAGTGGCCCAAATATTCTGCAGTCTTCTCCATATATTTATCTCCGAGTGTTCGTTTTGAAATTACATTCAATCTGGCCCAATAATTAATCGTCGCAACATCTCAATTCATTTCATTGGCAAAACCCATCCCTACGGCAATTAATACCTACATTATTGTCTTGTGTTGATCAGTACCCCTCGTAATAATGTGAAAATCCACTGCTAGCTGGAATTGGCAATTGCATGAATTTACCTGAGGATGCAATTTAGAAAGCTAACGCAAAACTGAATTGACTGACAGTTACACAGGACCACTTCGTCGATGGTTGTGAAAATAGCTGCCGGAAGCGCAATTTAAAGCAAGCTTGTTTATTTAAATTCTGAGTGAATAGCCATAGACTCAAGGTTTCCCGTAACACAGTAGTATTTCTGTGCCGTGTAGAAGTGAGTTATAGTTACATTCCGTGGCTGTGCTGAAATGCCATGTAGTTGCGGCCGAATTAAGGGACCGTCAGACACGTAGAAGCAGAGACGTGTCACTTAAAGCAGCTCTCTTCTTTTGTGCATTTCAGACGGTTTTAAATACATAATCATGGAGTCGTTTCGGTTTTCAATGCCATTTTTTGACTTCCATCAATAGGGTTACGTATACATTTTATCGTCATCCATTTCTGTTCGGAATTTAATATGAAAACATTTATGGATGTCTTATTATGTACTGTTTTCATTGATATTAACCACCGATCAAATAGTCCGTTGCAGCTATGAAAAAGTCAGTTTCTGTACATAAATTTTAGATAGTTAAACGTCGGGTTCCCATACCAGTGCTGGAGTATGATCAGCGCACTCTTAAGTTCACGCTGACTAAGTCCCGAAAGAAAGACGGTGCATTTCAGTTATAGTGCTCTTATTAACATCTTTGACAAAAGTTTCAGATTTTGGCATCGTTCTTGGATGTAAATTTTATATCAAAAATATAACAAATGCGAAACTCGTTGAAAAGGAGCCCGGCTTGAAAGAAGGAGATGTAGTTCTCAAAATCAACGGCGAGAGCTGCGACCAGTTGACTCTAGCAGATGCGCGCAAGATGTTAGAGAAATCTCGCGACTGCATTTCCTTGATCGTGCAGCGTGACGTTCCTCGCGGTACGAAGTGGCGATGGCCAAGCCAGTCAACTTTGTAC